AGAAAGAAGAGGGGGGGGGGGGAAAGCAAGCCACCAGGTCTGGGACGTGAACCACAGTCTGCCTGTGGGAGTCCAGCAACCTTAACCACTATGCCACCTGCCAGCCCCAAGTCAGAGGGTTTTATTGCTGTGATTTTAGGGCAAACTTGAACAAAAAACATTTTAAAAATTCAGACCTTTCTGGGGCCAGTAGGGGGCGTGGTGGTTAAGGCATAGGACTCCCACATGGCTGAGAAGGGATTTCAGCGTAGCCATCCCCCCCAGGGGGTGTGTGTGACTTCTCACTTTCTGTCTCTTTCTCTCTCTCTGTCTTTCTGGCGAGCGCATGCACCCTATAGCAAAAACCTCTCCAAAGAAAAAAAGAAAGAAACCCGTCACTGCTCACTGTAGACTTTAGACAATTTATTTAACCTTTGAGTTATGGAGGCCATCAGTACTTAGGCTCTGGTGTGTAAGGAATTCAAGCCAAAGGATGGAATCAGCTCAGGTGTTATTTGGTGATCTGTCTGTTTATAATGAGACATCTGCTGGGGACCAAGATTAGGCTCCTGGAAAAAGAGGTTACTTCCTGAAGTTTAGAAACAGCCTGGGGAATGGGACAGAGAAGAGCTTTACAGGAGGGCATACCAAGAAGGGTTGAGGAGGTTTGCACTCAGACATTCTTTGGTGTGCAGAGGAACCCAGTCCCCAAGGCTCTGGACCAGAACTTGTTGGGGAAGACACCTGCTCTGTGCTAATTTCCAGCAGATGGGGGCCAGGTAAAGGGGCCTGGTCAGTTGCCAACTCTGATGAACATTTCCCATCAGTCTGTACCCCTGCCTTTGGAGTAACTCCGTGTTCCCTCTCTTCTAGTTTGTATGTCTGTGACCGGACCTGTAACCTGTGTCCTGTTGCCAGCACAGAATGCTGGGTTTCCTTCAGTAGATCTGTGTTGCTCTTGGATCACAGGCTCCCATATTTGCTCCCCTTTCCTATGGCACAGTGTTATCAGCTCAGGCTTGAGACCAGTTTTATGGTTTGAAATTGCTACAGCTCATTTGACCAATCTCCCAAATAACAACTTGCCAACTGGTTAAGGCAGAGATTTCAAGAAGTTCCATTAAGGGAGTTGTTGGGCAGGCGGCACGTCTGCTAGGCTTTTGGTGGGCTTCCCAGGGGCAATCATGGCTATGGCTAGCGATTTCTACCTGCGCTACTACTCAGGGCACAAGAGCAAGTTTGGACACAAGTTTCTGGAGTTCGAGTTTCCACCTGATGGAAAGCTTAGATATGCCAACAACAGCAATTACAAACGTGACGTCATGATCAGAAAAGAGGCTTATGTACACAAGAGTGTAATGGAAGAACTGAACAGAATTATTGATGACACTGAAATTACAAAAGAAGATGAAGCTTTGTGGCCTCCCCCTGAAAGGGTTGGCTGACAGGAGAAATTGTAATTGGAGATGATGAACACATTTCTTTTACCACATCAAAAATTGGTTGGGACCAGCAGTTAGCGTAATGGCTATGTCGCTGGACTCCCATGTAGTCGACCGCGGTTCGCGTCCTGAACCTGGTGGCTTAAAACTCACACAGGGCATGTGTGCGTGCATGCGTGCCCAAGATCCCGAGAGGAGAACAGAGGTGAAGGGATTGCGGCGTGGCCATCCCCCCGGGGGGGTGATTTCTCACTCTCTGTCTCTCTGTCTCTCTCTCTCTGTCTGTCTGGTGAGCGCACGCACCCTATAGCAAAAACCTCTCCCCCCCCAAAAAAAAGAATTGGTTCTCTTATTGATGTAAATCAATCATAGGATCCTGAAGGCCTCCGAGTATTTTACTATTTGGTACAAGACCTGAAGTGTCTAGTTTTCAGTCTCATTGGCTTACACTTCAAGATTAAACCAATTTAAAGTGTATGTTTTTGAAATTGTTTGTATATTTAATTAAGGATTGAATAAGGGAGGGTTTATTTGTCATTTACAGTATTGGAATTTGTATGAATGTGAAGCAAACAAAAATCATTTTTGTATGTAAACTGAAATAAAGAAAATATATAAACAGGCTTACTAGTTATTCTCACTTGGATCCAAGTGGGCTGGGAAGTCCCCAGAAACATGAAATTTTGTAAATAAAATCCCCTTTTGTTGGAATTTTGCCTCAATAAATTACATCAAAGCCTGGAAAAAAAAAAGGAGGAGTTGTTAAGATGTCAGCCTCTTCTACTTCTGGGCTTGAAAGCTTCAGACCACCTGAGATGATGATTTCTTTCTTTCTTTAATTTATTTTATTTATTCATTCATTTATTTTAATTTGACCAGAGAGAGAGAGAGAAAGTGAGAAAGTAAGCCACCAGGTCCGGGACTTGAACCATGGTTGGCCATGTGGGAGTATCCAAAGGCATTAGCCACCATGCCACCTGTCGGTCCCCAGAGATGATTGTTTTAAATCAAATGAATGTTCCTGTGGAGAGTGCCACAGAGTGGCACTAGCACTGTCTGCGGACTTCTATTATTGCTGTTATTGTCAAATGACTCCTTTGAGTTATGCAAAGGTGAGGTGAGCTGGAAGTCATTCTGGGATTAGGGTGTAACAGGAACCTTTGAGAACTCTCCTAAACTGCTATGGCTTGAGATTTTGGCACTGGAAGTAGTGAGGATGTGGATCATTTTGTGTAAGGCCCTGGAGCCCTTGGAGGTGGGGGAAGGGAAGGTCATTACCCTAATCCTTGGCCAAATGACTCAGCAGAAAAACTTGGCAGTGGATCAGAACAGCCTACCCAAGGTTGAAGGCCAGCCCCTGAGATAAATTCACTTCAGGAAAGAAATATGAGCTCAAGACCTGGGACCCAGAACCTCCACTCATTCATCCATCTGTTCAACAATTAGTAGGTCAAGTCCATGAAAAGTCAGGCATTTTTTTTTAACCTTTGTTGGCCTTAGTCTCTCAGGCTTTCAGGTATCTCTAGTTTATCACATCTGATCAAATGCACCCACATCCCCCATTAAGTAATAGGCTATTTAAGTTTTTGCAAGGAAATTTATAGTTTTACTTTTGAAATTATCTGACTTCACATTAATTCATTTAAGTTGTAATTTGCTTTTTTTAAATTTCATTATTTATTTAGATGCTCAAGCTCTCGCACTAAGTTTTTACAAGCTGGTGAATACTGACATATAACTTCTCCCACAGAACTATAACCACGCATTCCCAGACAGTATAAATACATGGTTGAACTAACATTAAGACACATCACCATTTTATCAATTACATAATAAAACAAATTATCAAGTATCCAAATATTAAGTTACACAGCTCAAAAGGCATATAAAATATTAGATATCTGCTTGATTCATTAGCAGGAACCTCCTTTTTTGTTTTTTTTTTTTGAAAGAG